CTCCCCGCCTTCAGAACCAGGAGAAGACACATTTCTCATCCAGTTGCTCTTGTTGCTTCATGGTAAGGAATCACACTGCCAACACAAAGGTATGTGGTTCGAATCCACCAGCTGCTCTGCTGAGAAAGCTGTGCAGTCAACTCCTGTGTGATTTACTGCCTCTGAAACTTGCTTTAGGGTCGTCTGTGGGTAGGTATGACTCAAAGGCATGTAATGATAGCAATAAGTCACCCGGTTTATGGCAGCCGTGGGGCGCCTGGAAAGACCCTGGTGGCACAGTGGTTAGGTGCTGCACTGCTAACCTGTAGGTGGGCGGCTTAACCCACCCGGCAGCAGAACGATGTCACAGCCAGCGTCTGTATAAACACACAGCCCTGGGAACCCGAGGGGAACTTCTCTGCTGTGAGTTGGAATGGACCTTGAAGCAGTGAGTTTGGCTTTGGTTTTATGTCAAGCATTTTCTGTCTCCAATCTCTTTACCTCGGCAGCCTCTAAGGGCTGTTCCAACCCTGCTGACAGGGGAACTGAGCAATGCAGAAAAGCCAAGCTCTGTGTCGCATCCCATAACCAGCAAGTAATTGACAGTAAAAGTTCTTGGACAAAGAAGTCTTCTTTATTTCATCTTCCCCACGGGAGTCACCCAGCACAGGCAGGCTGAGCACTGCTTGTCAAGAAATGGATTGATGAATGAATGATAGGTGGAGTCAACCAAGCTGTAATCATTCCCTGTTTCACCATAAAAATTACCAGTGACTTAACTGATTCTCCGTCTGTCATCCTTCATTGCCCAGCTCTCAGATACATAACAAATAATTAAATAAGAAAATCATGGCCTGGATCAGGTGCACCTTAGTCTCTCGACTGATGTCATTGCTCTTTCACACTCTGGAGACGTTCTAAACAGCTGACTTTCCTAAAGCAGCTTATCTTTTGATTTCCTGGCTGCTGGTACCAAGTGGAGAATTGATGCCTTTGAACTGTGGTGCTGGAATAGAGTATTGAACGTGGCCTGCCATGAGAACTAACAGGTCTGTCCTGGAGAAAGTGAGACCGAGTTGCACCCTGGAGGCAAAGATTTTGAAGCTTCATCTGACATACTTTGGGCACGTGGCCAGGAGCGACCAGTTCTTGGAAAAGGACATCATGCTTGGAAGGGTGGAGGGACAGCTCAGGAGATGAAGACACCGGATGAGATAGACTGACACAGTAGCTGGGGCAATGGGGACATGGAGTCAGTGAGCCTGGCTCAGGACAGGGCAGGCTTCAGAGCTGCTGTACACAGTGTTGCTATGAGTTGCAGGCGACTTGGCAGAACATTACAGCAACGCAGTGATAACTGAATGGCCAGGGTTTCCCACCTGCCCAGAGGCTGCACCAATGGGCTTGAGCATGGAGTAGGTCATGAGGATGGCACAGGACAGGGCGAAGTTCACAGCATGGCCATGAGTGACTGGACGGTACCCACCAAGTTCACAGCGTGGCCACCAGTGACTGCACGGCACCCACCAAGTTCACAGCGTGGCCACGAGTGACTGGACGGCACCCACCAAGTTCACAGCATGGCCACAAATGACTGGACGGCACCCACCAAGTTCACAGTGTGGCCATGAATGACTGGACGGCACCCACCAAGATCAGAGCGGGGCCACCAGTGACTGCACGGCACCCACCAAGTTCACAGCGTGGCCACGAGTGACTGCATGGCACCCACCAAGTTCACAGCGTGGCCACGAGTGACTGGACGGCACCCACCAAGTTCACAGTGTGGCTACGAGTGACTGCATGGCACCCACCAAGTTCACAGTGTGGCCACAAATGACTGGACGGCACCCACCAAGTTCACAGCGTGGCCATGAATGACTGCACGGCACCCACCAAGTTCACAGCGTGGCCACGAGTGACTGCACGGCACCCACCAAGTTCACAGCGTGGCTACGAGTGACTGCATAGCACCCACCAAGTTCACAGCGTGGCTACGAGTGACTGCATGGCACCCACCAAGTTCACAGCGTGGCCACAAATGACTGGACGGCACCCACCAAGTTCACAGTGTGGCCATGAATGACTGGAAGGCACCCACCAAGATCAGAGCAGGGCCACCAGTGACTGCACGGCACCCACCAAGTTCACAGCGTGGCCACGAATGACTGCACGGTACCCACCAAGTTCACAGCGTGGCCACGAGTGACTGCACTGCACCAACAGCAGTCGTGCCGGCTGCTCCCTCAAAGACTCCAGCCTTGGAAATCGTCAGGACATTTCTCCTCGTCCTCCAGGGTCACTGGGAGTCAGAATTGCGGGGGGCCAGTAGTGCAGCCGTGCGCCCAAGCACAGCGGATTGTGAGGCTGGTACAGGACCGACGGGTTTCCTTCTACTGAGCATGAGGTCACTGTGTGTCAGAACTGACTCGATGGCACCTCACAACAGCAACACGGAGAATAGTCAGGTGCTGTCGCTGTCAGTATGATGCACAGAGACCCTGTGAACAAGAGATCTGAACCCTGTCCTGTGCCCTCCTGTCGTCTCTGATACACCCGAGACCACTGCTGCAGTCACTGTCAATCTATCTGCTGAGAGATTTCCTCTCTTTCACTGACCCTTCACTTTTCCAGGCACAATGTCCCTCTCCAAGGAATAGCCTCTCCTAGCAACCTTCTCAAAGTCTGTAAGAAAAAGCTTTGTCATCCTTGACTTTAAGGAGCACACTGACTGCCCTTTCTTCAAGACATATTTGTGCTTTTGACAGTCCGTAGAATATTTTGTTCTCCAACATGACAGCTCAAAGGCATCAGTTCTTCCTCTGTCATCCTTTTCATTGTCCAGCTCTTAGATGCATAGCAAATGACTGAAAAGACCATGGCCTTAATCAGATGCACCTTAGTCCTCACACTGACACCATTGCTCCTCAATACTTTGAAGAGGTCCTCGACTACAGAATTTCCCAGTGCAATGTGTCTCCTGATCTCCTGACTGCTGGTTCCAAGGGTGTTGATCTACATAGTTGCAATAGCCTGTTCCAACTCATGACGACCAAGTGGGTGTCAGAGCAGAGCTGGACTCCACACGGTTTTCACAGCTCACCCTTCTGTAGCAGTCTGCCAGCCCTTTCTTCCACAGCATTTCTGGGTGGACTTGAACTACCAAACATTTGGTTAACAGCTGAGCACCTCAGCATTTGTGTCACCCGGTGGCTCCTGCGCTCCATTTCCCCATGAGATCCCACGGGTGCAGTGGTGGTTCAGTGGTAAAACGCTTGCCTCCTGTGGAGGAGACCAGGCTGGACCCCCGGTTGGTCCAGCTCGTGTGCAGTCATCGGCTCTGTCGGCGGAGGCTTGTGTGCTGCTCTGGTGCTGACTAAGAGAGACTAGAAAGAAAGGCCTGGCAATCTGCTTCAGAAAATTAGCCCATGAGAACCTTGAATGCATATCCCAACAGTCCCACTTGTCAGAAGTCACAGGCTGAAGCAGGAACGAGTAGTGCTCGGGGTGGCCAAGGGTCAGTGGCTGATGGCGTGGCCGCTAGCCACAGCAGTAACACCATTCTAGGAAACACACAGTGCTGCTGGTGTGGTGTTCTGGGAGACAGTGAATCTGACTCTGATGCAGACTGTGTCTTTCATCATGTGCTTAAAGGGACTATGAGGACAGCAGAATCCCAAATCACCTATTCCAGACTACGAGCTGCCTCACGGGCTGCAAGTCTCGCTTGCCTAACACACCAGCAGCCTGGCAGACAGAGCAGGAGGACAGCATGCTACTACATAGTGACAGTGACACAGTGACGCGTGTTCTGTTCCACATGCATTCACTGCCCATCAGAGCCCGCTGCATGGCCGCTTTGACCCCCAGTGGGGGCTCTTGACTGATTCCTGACTTAAACTGTTAGCGCTGAGCAGACGTCGTTAAGGTACTTGCAGTAGTTCCTACAAAGTAAGGAGTCTCGGTATCCATCCTTTTTATTTTTGTTTTTAGATATTGTGTGGGGTTTAGTTGTCACATCCATAATTTAATTTTTGCTGGAGAAAGCAGAATAAACATACATTAAAAATTCCCCAAATATATCTGACTCGCCATCATTCCTTGGTTTCGTTTTACTGTTTATTCCATTCGGTTGTTTGGTGCCATCAAGGCAATGAGGACTCACAGCGACTCTCTGAACAGCCGGTCCGGAACCTGACCTCTCCCCTGCCGTCCCCACCGTCTCTATTTGCCTGAACCCATTGCTATGTTGTTTCAGTGGATCTTGTTGAATCTTCCTCTCTTCCTCTCACCCTCCGTGTATCTCAGCAGATGTCTTCTCCCAAGGACTGGCCCCTCCTGAGAACATGCCCGGGGTGTGTAAGGTGAATTTTCACCATCCTTGCCCCTGTGGAGCACCCTGGTGGCACTTTCTCTATGATAGGCTTGCTTGTTCTTTTGACAGTCCTTGACATTCAGTACACCACCTTTCAGAAGCGTTGATTCTTCTCCTGTCATCCTTATCCATTGCCCAACTTTCAGATAAGCGAGGAAGCAAATGAAAAGACCTTGATTTACATAAGGCACACCTTAGTCTCTAAACTGATATCATTGCTCTGTAGCTTTTCAGAGAGGTCCTTGACAGCAGGTTTCCTCAACATCCTATGAATTTACTGCTTCTTCTTCTTGTTGTTTGTTATGTACTATTGAGTTGGAACTGACTCATAGCTGACCCTCTATCAGGTTTTCCACAGTGGCAAATAACAAAGAAGACTGCCCATCTTTTTTGCTGCAGAACAGCTAGTGCGTTTGAACTGTGTGCTTTTGGGATGGCAGTGCATCTCCTTACCCACTAGACCACCAGTCCTCCACTAATTTAGGAAGCAGTCTTAAATGACTAGATGGAGCTCAAAGGAGGGAGTGAAAGAAGAGAAAGAGGGGAAAATAAAAAAATGAGTCTTACCTACAGATAATTTAAGACTTGAGGGCTTTGGGGACAACTGGTGTCTGTTTGCATTCCGTGTAACCATTGTGCTTTCCAGCCTGGAGACCGCCACCCTGAACCAGGCTGACTTGGATCTGGAGGCGTGTCGGACCCAGATCACCAAGAACATCATGGCCCTTCTCCTGAAAAACCTGGCCAGCAGTGGCCACCTGGCCCCCCAGGTGGAGAGGAGGATGGCCGCCGCCTTTAAAAAGCAGTTTCTGTTGCTGGAAAATGAAATACAGGATGAGCATGACCGCAAGATGGTGGCATTGACGGCCGAATGTGACCTGGAAACGCGGAGGAAGACAGAGAGCCAGTACCAGCGGGAGATGGTGGTCACGGAGGAGGTGGAGGAGCTGCTGAAGCGAGCGAGCGAGAAGGTAAGGGGCTCTGGGTGAGGGCCTTCCCGGGCCTCTCTCTCTTCCCATGTACCTACCCTCTACCCATCCATCTATCCATCCCCAACACATCCATCCACCATCCGTCTATACATCTGTCCATCTGTCCGTCCATCCATCCATCATCCATCCGTCCGTCCATCCATCATCCATCCGTCCGTCCATCCATCATCCATCCATCTGTCCGTCCATCCATCCATCCATCCATCATCCATCTGTCTGTCCGTCCATCCGTCCTTCCATCCATCCGTCCATCCGTCCATACGTCTGTCCATCTGTCCGTCCATCCATCCATCATCCGTCTGTCTGTCCATCCATCCTTCCATCCATCCGTCCATATGTCCATACATCTGTCCATCTGTCCGTCCATCCATCCATCCATCCCTCCATGCACCTGTCCATTATTTGTCCACCTGTCCGCTGGTATGTCAGCTTGCTGCACTAGGTGACTTGTCCGTTTGTTGTACTGGGGTAACTAGCTTGTAGGTCCCTGTGATGCTGCTGAGCCCCTGGGGTTTCAGATGCTAGAAGGGTCACGCATGACGGGCAGGTGTCAGCAGATCTCCCAGAGAATGTGGGAAGAGAAAGTAGGACTGGCCATACATTCCTGCTCGAATAACCTGCTGCTAGAAGCCCTATGAACTATACAGGGATATGGGCAGCTTCATATTAGAGGTAGAGTTGAGACTGGAATAATTCAGAATGAGGGGAAACAGCTGCACACATCTTTTGAGACAGTGACCGTAGCAGGGGATTCAAGTGTGTCAGCGATGGTGAAAATGGCACAGGACAGGACAGGGTTCAGAGCTGTTATTCACAGGGTCATGATGAATTGTGCTTTACTTGATAGCACCTACAATAACAGCATCCACTTGTCATCTCCTTCACTAATCCATCCATCCATTTATCTGTCCACTTGTTTATCCAATTCATTATCCATCCATCCATCCATCCATCCATCCATCCATCCATCCATCCATCCATCCATCCATCCACCTATCTATCCATCTATCCCCCTATCCATGCACTTATTCATCCATCTACTCATTTATTCATCTACCCACTCATCCACCTTCTCATCCATCCATCCATCCATCCATCCATCCATCCATCCATCCATCCATCCATCCACACATCCATTAACCTATCCATTCATCTACTCATCCATCTGTTTGTCCATCCATCCACGTACCAGTCCATGCACTCATGCATCCATGCATGCATATACCTACTCATTTTCTTATTCATCCACCCGCCCACCTATTCATTTACTTACAACCTAGCTATCCATCTGCCTATTCATCCACTTATCCATCCATCCATCCATCCACTTATCCATCCATCCATCCATCCATCCATCCATATACCAGCTACCCATCCATCTATTTATCTGTTCACCCATCTACCATTCACCCACCTACCAATCTATTAATCTATCCATCCCAGTACTTTTGTTCACCCACTTATTCATCCAAACCTACATTCATAGAGACCTGGCATCACATCCCAGCTCTACCTCAATGACCTAATCCTACATCTGTAAACAAAGCCAGCCCACCTTCTCAGGGTTGCTAGCGGGGAGTAACCCTCACGGGCTCTCGATGCCCAGTGTGCAGGGATTCTGATCCCTCAGTCTTCTCGGAGCTAGCATCTATTAGATAACAACTCCCATACTTCTTGGTGATGTGTTAGTTGCTTGAAGTTGTGTTAGTTGTGTTAGTCTTGAAGAATCATCCCAGAGATTTGTCCTGAGCATACCCTGTCAAGCCTGATTTCTACCTTACTTGTCTTCCTCTGTGGAGAAGACAACTTGCTCAGTCCCAGAGCTCAGTCAGAGCTTGTGTCCACACACCTGGTTAGGGGAGTCCTTGAGTAGCACAAACACTTCAGGTGCTGAGTTCTCACTGAAAGGTGGTAGGATTGAGTCCATCCAGAGCTGCCTTGGGAGAGCGGCTGGGTGGTCCACTTCAGAAAAACAGTTCTGTGCTCTGACACAGTGGCCCCGTAAGTCACAATGGACTCCATGGCAACTGTGGTTCTCCTCTGGAAATCCAACAGGTCAGATTGTCTTAGGTGCTGTTGAGAGCGCTCCCAGTCAGAGAGCCTGCATTCACGGGACAAAGCAGCCCCGGTGCTGGGCCACCCTCACGGCTGCTGCAGTGCTGGAGGCCGTTGTTGGAGCCTTTGGGCTGGTCTGTCCCTTTGGGAGTTGGCCTCTGCTTCACCAGGTGCTTCAACTCTGGAGATGTCCTTCTGCAGGGACAGGTTCCTCATGAGGACATGTCCACAGTCTTGCCATCCAGGATTCTACAATGTTAGATTGTTGTTGTGTGCCTTTGAGTCAGAACAGTGGACCTTTCAGTAAATCACACAGGAGGAGATTAACCATCCTTTTCCTGCAGAGCAGTTGGTGGCTTTGCACTGCGTGACTTTGGGATTGCAGTGCAGCTTCTTACAACAGGCCACTAGAGCTCCTTAGGTTGGAGAGATCTAACCCTTGCTTAGAAACAAGCTTTTCAGCTCTTCCATCCGAGTTGCTGTCTGCATCCCCCGAGGTTCCCTGGGAAGGGATTTGTGTTTCCCTGCAGATGTACATCTGAGATGTATAACATCCCCAGGTGATTCTTGTATATACAGGAGTAACACCTGCTGATCTAACAGAGTCACTTGAGGGTCTTGTTAAGGTTTAGATTCTAACTCAGCATGCCTGAGACGGGAAGGTAAGTTCTCGAGAGGGATTGCTCTGCAATGAGCCAATTCAAAGCCTTGGGCCCAATTCAGTCCAAGTAACAGAGGCTCTACCCCTGATCACTGCACTACAGAGCCTCAGTGCGCTGGGCAGGTCGTGTCCCATGGTTGTGTTGACCCATGTACCCCCTTGTAGGGGCGTATATAATGTCTCCACTCTCAGGCAGTTATTTCTTGGAGAGAGATATCATGCTTGGGAAGGTGGAGGGATGGCAAAGGAGAGGAAGACCCTCAACCAGGTGGGTTGACACAGTGACTACAGCAATGGGCTCTCGTGTGCCAGGGATTGTGAGAACGCCACAGGATAGGACAGGGTGCAGAGCTTTTGTTCATAGGGTCACTATGAGTCGTGCTTGACTTGACAGCACCTAACAACAACAAACATAAGGCAGGAAGCTCTGGTGGCTTAGTGGTAAGTAGTTGCACTACCAACCCAAAGGCACGTGGTTCGAATCCACCTGTGGGAGGAAGATGGAAAATCTCTGTGATTACTGCCTCTGAAACTAGCTAGAGGGTCAGCTATGAGTCAGTTTCAACTCAACCAGCATAAAGCTCTTAGGAGCAGTTCCTTAGAGAAGGCTGTTGGACAGGCTGCCTCTCTTTTTACCCCTTTGGGGTTCATTCTCACTCTTGGGCAGAGGAGCTTCCTATACCTTCTTTCTGGAGCACCAGGTACCTTATCGGAACCAGTTTGCTTCTCCAGAAACAGCAGCTGAACAGCTGACATGAATAGAACCATTTCCCTTCTAGTAATATGGTGCTTAAGAACTACTGGCACTTGCTGCAGAAGGTCAAGGACTGTAGTATTCAATATGGATTGAAGCCCAACATCAAGAAGACAAAAATTCTCACTACTAGGCCAATTGGCAGCATCATGATAGATGGAGACGAGATTGAGATTGTTAACAGTTACAACTTGCTCAGCTCCACAGTCAACAGTCTTGGCACAGGAAATCATAAGTGAAATTGCATTAAGTAAATCTGCTGTCACAGACCTCTCCAGAGTACTGAGAAGCAATGATGTCAGTCTAGAGATTAAGGTGCGCCTCATCCAGGCCATGGTCTTCGCGATTAATTGCTTTGCATCAGAGAGGGGACAATGTCTAAGGGTGACAGGATGCCTTTGAGTTGTGGTGTTGGAGGAGAGTCTTGAACATACCGTGGACTGCCAAGAAAAGAAATAGATCTGTCTTGGAGAGAGGGTGAAGTCAAGTTTCTCCTTAAAGTCTAGGAGTTTGAAGCTCTGCCTCACATACTTTGGGTACGTGGCCAGGAGGGACCAATCCTTGGAGAAGGACATCATGCTCTGAAGGGTGGAGGAACAGCACAGGAGAGGAAGATTCCGGATGAGATGAATTGATACCGTAACCGGGGCGATAGTGGTAGTTATGTCAGAGTCAGTGAGACTGGCTCAGGACAGGGCAGGCTTCAGAGCTGTTGTACATGGGGGTCACTATGGCTCGCAGGTGACATGATGGCCACATAACAACAACAACAAGAAGCAGAAAACCCACGCCCACACGTAGTGACACTCTATTGGTTTTCAAGGCTGTAAATCTTGACAGGAGGAGATGCTCTGTTGCACTGTTCTCCCAGAGTGACTGGTGAAACTCAAACCCGCAACCTTTTGGTTAGTAGCCCGGCACGTCACACACTGTGGCACGAGGGGTGCTTATGGGCAGTTCCACATGCACACACGCACTGCTGTGGTCCCAGCCGTCTTCTGGGTTTCTGAGGCTGTTGGAGATTGTTCCAATCTTAGTTGGAGGAGGCTTCCCACCTTTTTATCAAGGAGCTGATGGTGGACGCACACTTTGGAGTCGTGCAGCACGTTATGTGAGGGACCACACACCTTCCGACAGCCCCTTCCTCCTCTTTGTAGTCATGGCCCTTTGAGTCAGAACCGACCCACTGCTGACCCTCCAGTGAGTTTTCAGAGGCAGTAAACTGCACAGGAAGAGACTGTCCTTCTCCTGTGCAGCAGCTGATGGATTCGAACCACATGCCATTGGGATTGCAGCTTAGCTCCTTACTGCTGGGCCCACTTGGAAATGTTCCCTTTTGAAATGATTGAACCAATCCCTGCATGAAACGAATTTTTCACCATAACCACTTTTACTTGCTGCGTGTGTAGTTTTAAATTTTTAAAAAGACTTTCAGCCTTTTATTAAACTAAAAATTCATTGCTGTCAAGCTAGAGCCTCATAGCTGGTCCTCCTGTGGGTTTTCTGAGGCTTGAAATCACTTGGGAGGAGTGTACCCATCTTTCTCCTGTGAAGCAGTTGGTAGATTCGAACCACCTGCCTTTGGGTGGGCTGTGTGACTCCTTATCCACTCCGCCAGCAGAGCTCCCTCTTGTGCTAAGGAACACTGGGAGCAGCAGACTCAGCTCCGTCTTGGGCTGTGATGTGCCCAGTGCCCCAGGGGGCTGTGTGACTCAGTGGCCAGGAGCATGGACTCTGGACACCCACTTCCTGGGCTGAGTCTGGAGTAGGGTTCAGATGGGTTCTGGATGGACGCCCTGGAGAACTTCTCCATACATCCTTTAAGGCACAGGGTACCCCAGGGACGGGCTGCATCATGGGCATTCTTCCTCTCACTGGGCTTTGCCGTGTCAAGTTGGTTAAGGCTTACGGCGATCCTGGGGACGACAGAGTGAAGCCTTCCCCAGCTTGCACTGTTCTCACATCCTGCTGTCCTAACGCCCATTGCTGCAGTCTCTGTGTCAATCTGCCTCACTTTTTCTCTTCTCTATTTTGCCAGCCCCCTGCTTTTCCACACATGGTGTCCTTTGTGCAAGGACTGGTCCCTCCTGGTGACATACCCAAAGCGTGCAAGGTGAAGTCACCCTCCTTAGCCTCCAAGGAGCACTCTGATTGCACCTCTTCTAAGACAAGTTTGTCTGTTCGTTTGGCGGCACATGGCATATTCCAGACCAACACTGAAGTTCAAAGGCATCAGTTCTGTTACCCTTATTCACCGGCGAGACTTCACTTGCACGTGAAGCATTGGGAAATACCATGGCTTGAGTCAGGCACACCTTAGTCTTTAAACTGACATCCTTCCCCTTTCACACTTTGAAGAGGTTCTTGACAGCAGATTTTTCCCAATGGAACACATCTTTTGATTTCTTGAGTGCTGCTACTGTGGGTTGATTATAGACTCAAGTCAAAGGAAATAACTCACAAGTTCAGTCTTTTCCCCATCTATCAGGATGGTGCCTATTGGTCCGGTGGTGAGGATTTTTTTACTTTATGTTGAGATGTAATTCATCCTGAAGACTGTAACCTTTGATCTTTTTCAATAAGCCCTTCAAGTCCTCTTGACCTTAAGTGAGCAAGGTTGCGTGTCACAGTTCACTGGAGAGCCTTCTAATCCTGATGCCGCACTTTTCTTCATAAAGTCCAGCTTCTCAGACCATTTGCTCAGCATGCACACCTGATTATGCTTCAAGAAGAACTCCCTCAGACGACCCACATTAAAGGTCTTTGGCAATCATGAGGGTAGGGTTCCCATCTGTTGTTCCTGGGCTTGCTATGAGTCACAGTTGACTTGACATCTCCCAACAACAGCAACAGCAACAGCAGTGACGTGGCAGTCCTGCACAGAGAGGGTCAATAGGCAGCATTCACAGTACTTACTTCATGTCTTTGGCTACATTTTGGTTATTCTCACGATATTTCAGACTTCTTTATAATGTACATTCCATTGCCATGGTCAAGTCCAGCTCATGGTGATTCTCCTTTTAGCTTCTAGACTGCATATTTTTACTGGTGCAAATCACCTCATTTCCCACCCCCTCTGTGGAGCTGATGGATTTGAACTCCCAGCCTGTCTTTTAGCAGCCCAACATGCATCACACCATGCCACTGAACAGACTACGGCCGTAATGAAAGGTAACTTAGATATGTGCTGGCAAACCTAAACGTTGGCAGGGCTGCCACGCCGTTCACCTTATTGCTGGGCTCTGGAAAGAGCTTGCAGTATCTCTGAGCTCTGCTGTGTCTCCGAGATGCAGGACCCCAGGACAGGACGGGAAAGGACTTGCCTCCCCTTTGCCCACAGCGCTGGAAGCTCAGGGCTGTCATGTCTGGATCTTTCTTCTCTAGACGCTGAAAGTGTTCTTCCCAACGTTCTTCCCGGTCACTGAATGAGGCTGGCCCGCGTATCTTCCTTTGCTGTGCCCGAGGCTCCCTGTCTCTGCTGAGGGCACCTGAAAGGAGAGTCCTGTCATGTGTTAGCTATCTCTGATGGGCTGATCTTATGAAACGTTTCTACAATCTGCCTGTCTTGTTAAATTGAGTACAGGGAGTCTAATTTAGTGCCTATTTAAATAGATATTCTTTGCTGCTTTGAAAAATATAAAACTTCACGTAAGAACCTAGACTCCCAGATGCGTTTTCCCCCCCATTCATTCATTGTTGTATTTTTTTCTCTTTGCCCATCCCTCCCCCCAGTTTGCTCTTCTCTTTGAAAAGTAAAAGAAAATTTTTTTCATTGGTATATAATTCCCCACGCCCCCGGCAAAGTACACTCCAATATGCAACCTTCATTCTAGGCTCTTGTCATAACCATAATACCTAATCATATATCACTTTTAAACAGTTCTCTCCCTCATCTGTTTCAATGCAGTATATATGATTAATCCAATTTTTCTCAGTCTCACCCCAATCCTGATGTCAGTCGTATTTTACAACAGTGGCACTATGCAGTATTTTGTCCTTTTGTGACTGAGATATTTCACTCAGCATAATGTCCTCCAGGGTCACCCATTTTTAATAATATTGCATGAGTTCCTTGTTTTTCAATGCAGCGTAGTATTCCATTGTGTGAATATACCACAGCTTCTCTATCCATTCATTTGTTGATGGGCACTTGGGTTGTTTCCACCTCCTTGCTATTGTGAACAAAGCCACGATAAACATGGGTGTGCTTCCCACTGCTTTTTAAAGGATGGGTCCATCCCCTCCCGTGCAGAGCTCCCTCTGGTGGGCTGTGTGACACCTGCGCCTGACACCTGGCTGGCTCTCTCTGCTGGCCCAGGCCCCACCCAGGCAGGTCTTTGGGGGAGCGCCACCCCCGGCTTGTATACACAGGCACATTAAGCAGACACCGGGGCAGGATGTGGGCTGAGGTTTGAGGATGATGTCAGGGCAGAGCTCTGAGGGTTCATCCAGCCCCAGTGTCTCTGAAAATCTGACAGTCTCTACACTGGCACATACCCTCTTCTGTGTCTACTGTGACAATATGCGAAGTTCTCGCCAGTGCTGAATGGGAAGGGCTTATGAGGAGTCTCTGGGAGGCCGGGACCTTGCATGGGGACTGTCTTATAAGTCTGTCCGTCACCAGGAAGTAATACCCCCACTCCACTCCAGGACACATGACTTACTGAGAGAATGGGGTGAGAAGCAGCCAGGTTCCCCTCTTTTTCTAATCACAGAAAATACCAGCCTCCAAACGGCAGTCCCTTACCACCTCTCTCCCCCAAACACCTTCACCTTGGCCCAGTAGTGGTGCAGTGGGATGATGGCGGCAGTCGCCGGCGAACCTATAGCATGATACATCCCATCAGCGTGATGCGTGGATGCTGAAGTCTTCCTTTCAGGAGGTTACTTCCGGGAAGCTTGCTTTGCAGATTTCCACCTGTGTGAATGTCTGCTTTCGAGGTGGTTCTGGAAAACATGAGGCTGATGGCGAGGGCTGATTCCAACAGCATCGTGCAGGGAGGGCGCCGGAGCCTCTTCCTGCCACCTTGTGACATTACGTGCTGGTGTGCACGGCTTGTGTGTCTGTGTGCGTGTGCTTGTGCATAGGTGTGCAGTGCACAAACACGTGTGATTGTGCCAGGCACATGTGGCCTGTGACCTGTGCGCATGTGTATGTGCTGTCTGCTCTGCATGTGCTCACGTTTGTAAGGTGTCACGCATGCCCGTGTGTGTGCCGTCCACTCTGCATGTGCGCACATTTGTAAGGTGTCAGTGTGACACAGTCTGTCTGTGCACGTGCATTCTTTACCATGTGTGCATGGGATATGTGCATGTAAAGTGATGTGTGCACGTAAGTCCGTGTGTTCCTGTGTCTCTGTAGGCATTGCCTGTGCACATGTACCTGTGTTTGCATGTGTGCCGTGTGGGCCAGTGCCCATGTGTCCATGTGCATGCACACGTGTGATTGATTACACGCACAGGCATATGTATGCCATGCATGCCTACGTGCAGATGTGTACATGCGTCTGCTTATTAACTGCACACATGTCTGTGTGTACATGCTTAAATGTATATATTTCCGTCAACACATATGTAAACTGTGTTCATTATACACGTGGCTGAGCATGCCTGTATTTGTGTGCTCACACGTGCCCATTTGCCTGTGTGTTCGCTGCACATGTGTGTTATGTGTGGTGCACACGTGCTCTGTGTGCTCCCATGGTGGAACTGTGTGTGTGCGTGCACACGTGCACTTTGTGTTCCCGTGAAGAGTGTGTGTGTTCCTGTATTGTGTGTGTGAGTTTGTGAGTGTATATGTGTGAGTATGTGCACACACACCACACACTTTGTATTCCCATGAAGTATGAGTGTGTGTTCCTGTGTTGTGTGTATGAGTGTGAGTGTGTGTGAGAGTATATGTGTGAGTGTATGAGTTTGTATCTGTGAGTGTGTGTGAATGTATATGTCAGTGTGTGTGCACGCACACACTCACTTTGTGTTCCCGTGAAGTGTGTGTGTATGAGTTTGTGAGTGTATATGTGTGTGTGTACACACGTGCACTTTGTGTTCCTGTGAAGTGTGTATGAATGTGTGTTCCCCGTGTTGTGTGTATGGGTGTGAGTGTGTAAGTGTGAGCATGTGTGAGTGTGTGTGTGTGCGTGTGTGTGCCCCCCCCCCCCGGTCTCACACGTCACCACCTGGTCTCCCCGCAGCTGGCGGCCGAGTGCAGTAACCTCCTGCGGATGGTGCAGAGCCTGGAGCAGGAGCACCTGCGGAGAGGGCTGGTGCTGCAGCAGGAGGAAGACTTGGCCAAGGCGCGCAGGCAGCTGGCCGTCCTCCAGCGGAGCGAGCTGCACAGGATCTTCTACACCCAGATCAAAAGCGCGCTGCTCAGAGGCGAGCTGAAGCCCGACGTGGCTCAGACGCTGCTGCAGTGCTATTCTGAGATGCAGGTGAGGCCGCGGTGAGGCTGCCATCGGGGTGGGCATGGCAGGGCGGGCGTCTCTTCTCCACCCGTCCTGATGTGGCTTCTTCCGTGGCAGGTGGGCCTGCTGAGTTAACTGCCCCAGGGAGCAGCCTTCTCCTCCTCTTGCCCTTGGCTGTGAGGGAGTTTCCAGCATGTAGAGTAAATAGCTGTTATCCAAACAGAGCAACGGAATATACAGTGGATTAAAATCAAGGAAGATGTGCATTAAGACTGTATCCTCTCCTCAAGTGTATTCAGTCTATGTGTTGAACAAATCATTCAGGAAGTTGTTCTATACGAAGAAACATGTGGCATCAGAATAGGAGGAGATGGAGGAAGCAGCGGAATGCACCCAGATGGGCATTTTTTAGGTGGTGAGAGCCAGTGAGAATGCTTGCTTATGGAGGAATGTGGACTGATGGAGCTCATGGAGTTGGAACCTTGGCTTGGTTCTTAAATTCGGTTGGAACCAAGGGCCTGGTTTTAATTGGTTTTGGTCAAACGTTCTTCTAAGTGGTATCGCACTGGTTTGTGCATTGTTGTAGAGGTAACTTGTGGTTGTTGTGAAGCTGAACACTGTGACACTGGCGTGACAAATGCGATAATGGTTCCCCATGGTGGACAGTGTTTGGTGGAGCTTCCTGATTGAAACAAGCAGGAGTGGCATCCGCTTCCAAATAGCTTGCCTCCAGGAAACCCTATGAACCTGGAGAAATGATGAAAGTTATACAACTGTTCAAGTCTTTCGTTCACAGGGTCGCTGAGTTGTCTAAGACTCAAAGGCACCTAACAACAGCAACAACAGAGTAAATCGAGGCTTAGAGCACTGGCCTCAGAGCCGGGACAACTGGACTTGAATTCTAACCACATCACGCATGTACCGTGCGCGCCTGAGTATGCATCCAGCCTTGCTAAGCCTCAGTTTCTGCAGGGACACTGCAATGTCCACACACATGGGACAGTGATGGACATGATATGAGCTGGTTCATGGAAATGAATGCCAGCTTGGCATCAACCCCAGACTCACTGCTGTCAAGTTGAGTTTCAACTCAGAGCAAATCTAGGGACCAGGCCAGTTATTCCTGAGGGCTCCCCGGGCTGCCACGCTTTTAGAATGGCCACATTGTTCCTCACAGAGGGATGTTTGAACCCCTAACCTTTTGGTTAGCAACTGGGAGCTTACCGCCCAGAGGTGAGCTTGATAGAGATGTTGTTGTTGTACGTGCCATCAAGTTTCCTGTGACTCACAGTGACCCTGTGAACCGCAGCACGGACCTTGTCCTGTCCTGCCATCGTCACCATCCCCAACAGGCTTCAGCCCACAGCTGCAGTCACTGTACTCACCTCTCTTGCTGAGAATTGGCTTCCTTCTCTGACCCTCCGCCTTTCCAAGAGTGATATTTTTGTCCAAGGACTGGCCTCTCCTGACAACTGTGCTCAACGTATGTGAGATGAGGTGTCAGAGAACCTTGACTGGATCTCCTCTAAAGACTGAGTTTGTTCTCCTCGCCGTCCATGGAATATTCCGTCCTCTTCCCAACACCACAGTTCAAAGGCATCAATTGTTCTTCTGTCATCCTGATTCACTGTCCAGCTCTCAAATGCATAGCAAGTGACCAGAAAGACTATGGCCTGAATCAGATGCACCTTAGTCCTCCAACTGGCATCATTGCTCCTCAATAATTTGGCCTAGCTGCAGACTACCAAGGATGTTGATTAGGGTTCCAAGTAAGATGAAATCATTGACAACTTCACTCTTTTCTCTATCTATCATGATGTTGTTTATCGATATGTTGATTGGCTTCGAGTTGAGCACGACTCATAGTGACCCTATGAACAAAAGGCCTAGAGCCCTATTGACATTTATAAAAGTTCATAGAGTTTCTGGAGGCATGTTGTTTAGGAAGTGAATGCTACTCCTGCTTCCAAACCCGTCATAGTATGTTCTTATTGTTATGTGCCGTTGAGTTCCCTGCGATTCATAGCGACCCTATGTACAGCAGCTCTGAACCCTTCCCTGTCCTGAGCCAGTCTCACTAACTCCCCACTATCTCATCTGGGATCTCCCTCTCCTGCGCTGTCCGTTCACCCTTCCAAGCATGATGTCCTTCTCTAACGACTGATCTCTCCTGGCCACATGCCCAAAGTAAGTGAGGTGGAGCTTCAAAATCCTAGCCTCCAAGGAGAGACTTGGTTTCTTTCACCCTCTCCAAGACTATTTGTTTTCTTGGCAGTCCATGGTATGTTCAAGACTCTTTTTTCTTATTGTTATAGTGGTAAGAATTTTTGTTTTCTTCATGTTGAGATACAGTCCATATTGAAGGCTACATTCTTTGAAGCAAGTGCTTCAAGTCCTACTCACTTTTCAGCAAGCAAGATTGTGTCATCTGCATAACGCAGGTTTTTGGTGAGTCTTCCTCCAATCTTGCTGCTACATTCTTCTTCAGAGTCCAGCTTCTTGAAATATTTGTTCAGCCTACAGATTGCATAAGTATGGAGAGAGGATACAATCCTGACACCTTTCTTAATTTTAAACCACTCAGTGTGTCCCCTTGATCTGTTTGCACAATAGCCCCTTGCTCCAGGTATAGGTTCCACATGAGCACAATCAAGTGCTCTGGGATTCCCATTCTTCTCAGTGTCAGCCACAACTTGTCATGATGCACACAGTCAATAAAGCACAAATAGACATTCTTCCGGTATTCTTTACTTTCAGCCAGGATCCATCTGACATCAGCAGTGATATCCCTGGTGCCACAGCCTCTTCTAAATCCTGCTTGAATTTCTGGCATTTCCCTATCCATGTACTGCCGTTTTTGAATGGTCGTCAGCAGTATTTTGCTTGCATGTGATATTAAAGATATTGTTGGATAGTTTCCATATTCTGTTGCATCATGTTTCTTGGGAATGGGAACAATATGGACCTCTCCCAACCCATTGGCCAGACAGCTGTCCTCCAAATTTCCCGGCATAGACTGGTGAGCGCATCCAAGGCAGCATCTGTTAATTGAAATAAGTCAATTATTATTTTTTGCCAATGCCTTCAATGCAGCTTCAGCTTCTTCCTTCATTACCCTTGGCTCCTGTTCATATGGTACTTCCTGAAATTTTTCAGTGTCAGTCAGTTCTTTTTTGGTACAGTGACTCTGTGTATTCCCTCCATCTTCTTTTGATGCTTCTTGGATCATTCAACATATTTCCCCATAAGCATCCTTCACTATTTTGACTCGAGGCTTAAGTTTGTTTTTCAGTTTTCTCAGCTTACGAAATGCAGAGCGAGCTCTTCCCTTTTGATTCTTCAGTTCCAGCTCTCTCTGCACATTCCGTTGGAATACTTTGCTTTGTCTTCTTGTACTGCCCTTTGAAATCTTCTGTTCAGCTCTTTGACTTCCCATGTTTTCACTTTGTTTTGGCTTCTTGATGCTTACAATGCTCAGTAGAGATTCTTTGTCTAGAATATGGTTAACATTTACAGCAGTAAAAAATGAAATGGTCAGCTGCTGGTGTGTGGAGTCTGCCCATGGTGACTGTGTTTATGGTGTTGACTCTCTATACGATAGAAGGACATGCTGTCTAGTCCTGTGTCATCCTCATGACCCCAGGCAGACATGCACCCTTCCTTGTGTCGGCTGCATCTCAGGAGAAGATGCAGCAGTTTGCCTGGAGTCCTTTTGGGGCGCTTTTGCTCCAAGCTGTGAGATTGCTGAATCAGAATTGATTTGACAAATATAACTAGAAGCACAAAAGGTCTACTCAAAGAAAATTACAAAACAGTATTACAAGAAACAAAAAAAA